CTGGAGGCTGTCATATGCTAAATACTCCTATACACTGGGGTCCCTGAGGTTGGTGCCACTGTCCTACCATCTGGAGCTTCGCTCTCCAGTATGGTCGACGTGAGCCATGTGCAGCCACTGGGCACTTGAAGAGTGGCTCATCTGAATTGAAACACGTTATAAGTGTCAAGTATACCCTGGATTCCAAACACACTGTACAAAAGGGGAAAAAAGCGGTGCCTGGGTGGCTCAGTGGGTTAAGCCTCTGCCTTCGGCTCAGGTCGTGATCTTAGGGTCCTGGGATCAAGCCCCGCATCGGACTCTCTGCTCATCGGGGAGCCTGCTTCCCCCACCCCCTCTGCCTGCCTCTCTGCTTACTTGTGATCTCTCTCTGTCAAATAAATAAATAAAATCTTTAAAAAATTTTAAAAACAAAAAGGAGGAAAAAGGGATATAAAATATCTCATTAAGACTTTATTATATTGAGTATATACTGAAGTGATAATATTTTGGATAGATTTAGTTAAAGAAAATATATTATTAAAATTAACTTAACCAGTTTCTTTTTACATTTGTTAACGGGAGTAACTAGAGAAATTTTAGAACCTCTGTAGCTCACTTCCTATTTCTACTGCACGACGCTGGTCTAGAGAGTTGTACCGTAGAGAAGAGGAGCTAAGTTCCACACTGGGGTAAGGGTGACATTACTAGCCGGCCCAAGGTGCCAAGGGAGCCCAAAGGAGACTTGGCCTGAACTGCGAGGGGCGGGGGTGGGGGATGCAGAGCCGCTTCCAAGGGTTCGCATCTAAACCAGCCACAGGACAAATGTGAGTTAGCTCCAGGACCAGCGCACTCCAGGAAGGAGCCCAATCTCTACAAAGGGACACAACTGAGAAGCCCAGGGAGCTTCAGGTACGTCTCCAGCAGCCGGAGAGGGCAAGGTATACGAGAAAGCAGTAAAACCAGAAAGAGCGACCGACGTTAGCTCCGGAAGATCAAGTCCAGTGCTGTCCAGCAGAAGTCCAATGGGAGCCACGCACAAATTTTTCAGTTTTGTTGTAATCACATCCAGAAAAGCAAGAGTAAGGGCACCTGGGTGGCTCAGTGGGTTAAGCCGCTGCCTTCGGCTCAGGTCATGATCTCAGGGTCCTGGGATCGAGTCCCACATCGGGCTCTCTGCTCAGCAGGGAGCCTGCTTCCCTCCCTCTCTCTGCCTGCCTCTCTGTCTACTTGTGATCTCTCTCTGTCAAATAAATAATTAAAATCTTAAAAAAAAAAAAAAAAGAAAAGCAAGAGTAAAATTGTGATAAAAAGTAACGTCCTCACAGTTTTACTTTTCACTTTAGTGATATGTTTTACTTAACCCAGAATATTTAACACGTTATCCTTGCAATATGTGATGCATGTCAACAATTCTGAACGAGACAGTGCATAGTCTATTTATTAGGTCTTTGAAGTTGGCCAGCTGGTTTACACTGAAATCTGTGTTGGCCCCCGTTCAAGGGTCCAGTGGCCCCCGTGACTCGTGGCTCCTGCATTAGGCAGTGCAGGTGTACTAGGCTTTTCTCGAGTGCAATGGGAAAAGGTTTTAAGCAGAAGTGTATCTTAGAAAAATGCCAGCCCCAAGAGAGAACAAGCAGCTTTCTGGAGGTTTCACCATCACCAGCTTTTGGGCACTGTCACCTACAGAGGTGGCTCAGTTTATAAACTGGTAATTTGGGAGCAGGGTCTTTTTTTGCAGACTCTACCTTGTGATGGGATTATCTGAGGGCAGCTTTGGAGAGCAGAGGCAGAGCCCTTTACCAGTTGTTGTTTTGTTTTTAAAGATTTTATTTATATATTTGACAGATAGAGATCACAAGTAGGCAGAGAGGCAGGCAGAGAGAAAGAGGAGGAAGCAGGCTCCCTGCAGAGCAGAGACCCCCATGCGGGACTCAATCCCAGGACCCTGAGATCGTGACCAGAGCTGAAGGCAGAGGCTTTAACCTACTGAGCCATCCAGGCGCGCCCCTGTCCCAGGTTTTGTCCAGAGTTCTGAAAAGGGGGAACTGCTCTCTCAGCTCCCAAGTGGTTCCAAGTGGTTCTACCCACCTTTCAGATGGTGACCGGGGGCAGATTCCTTCGATTTTCACCTTTGGGTTTCTCTTCTGTGAACCCGAGGTGTGCAGATAAAAAGCAACCTATGTACCTCATACATTAAGCAAAGCCTTATACTGTTCCTGGTAAAGAATTGCTCAAAAGATTGTAATTCTTTCCTCTAAGCTGTCATCAAAAGGACTCTTTCACATGCTAAGAGCAGCATAAGATGTCAACGCAGACAGCATAGCTGGGGATCAGACCACTTCAGTCACCTCTTAGGAAGACTCCTAACTCTTTCCCTATCCCCCACAGAAGCGATTTCAAGGAATCAGTTCACTTCGCAGGGCCCCCTGGGTAGCACAGCTGGTTAAGCCTCTGACTCTTGGTATCGGCTCAGGTCATGATCTGGGGTCCTGGGACTGAGCCCCAAGTCCGCTCCACTCTCAGTGCCGGGTCTGCCTGAGAGTCTCTCTCTCCCGGGCTCCCTCTGCCCCTCCCACTTGGGTGCACTCTCTCTCTCTCAAATAAATAAATGAAATCTGAAAGAAAGAAAGAAAGGAAGGAAGAAAGGAAAGAAGAAAGAATGAAAGAAAGAAAGAAAGAAAGAAAGAAAGAAAGAAAGAAAGAAAGAAAGGAAGGAAGGAAGGAAGAAAGGAAAGAAAGGAAAGAAAGGAAGAAAGAAAGAAAGAAAGAAAGAAAGAAAGAAAGAAAGATCCCCAAAATATGCAGATTAGAGCCAGCCCTTTAGGGGGCTTTTTTTCTAGCATCACAATAAGCTTTAACTGGTAGGAAAACAGCTTTTCAGTTTCCGTGGGCTCTGTCTTATTGCAAAAGCAGCACAAAATTGTTCTGAATCTCCAAGGAGTTACCAGGTGCTTAATGACTTGCCAGGGTAATCCACAACTGAGTTCTGGGAAGTCATTATGTGAGACATTATCTACCACCCTCCTCTGTCTTTGAGAATCAGATGAAACACAGTCTGGGTGAACTGGAAAAAGCATCGGTTTTGAAGTCTGACAAACCTGAGTTTAAGCCACGATTCTGGCACTGATAGCCATATCATCTTTGGATGAATTGCTTATATCTTTGAGCCTCAAGGTACTTACCTGTAAAATGGGTGTAATATAGATCTTGCAAGGTAAGAATTATGTAGGGAAAATAAGGCTACTTATCTACTGCAGCACAACAAATTACCCCCAAAACTTAGAGGCTTAAAACAACACTTCTGATCACACTTTATGTGGGTGAGGAATCTGGGCATGGTTTAGCTAGGTCCTTCAGCTTAGGATCTCCCAAGGCTTCAAACAAGGTGTCAGCTAGGGATACAGTCTCATTTCCAGGCATAACTGGGGAAGGATCTGCTTCTGAGCTCTCCCATTGGTTGCTGGCAGGATCTAGTTCCTCATAGGTTTCTGGACTGAGCGTATTGGTTCCTCACTGGCTGTTGGTGGGAGATCTCCTTCAGTTTCTTGCCATGCGGTCCTCTCTATAGGGAAGCTCACAACATGGCAGTTTGTGTCATCGGAGGAAGAAGGCAAGAAGAGTCAGAGAGAGAGATTACCAGACAGAAATCTGTCTTTTATAACCTAGTCTTAGAGGTGACATCCCATCACTTTTGCTATATTCTGCTGGTCAGAAGCAAGTTAGGAGTCCAGCCCACATTCAAGGGAAGGGGATTACATGGCTGTTAAGTGTCAGGAGGAAAGAACGGTTGGGAGCCATTTTGGAAGCTGTCTGCCATGATATTGAAACATTCTCAGTAAATAGTTGTTATGACCAGACATGACAGCATTTTGAAAAGCAGTGTTCATCACAGAAATAAAAGAAATATACTGGCGTATGTATTAGGGTCAGGAAATTTAACAGTCTATAAAAGACTAACAGTCTATAAAAGAGGCTGATGCTAACCAATGCTAGGTTTTCCAAAGACTACATTTAAAGATGCATTTAACTTATATTAAATACTGATTTGAATTTCATAATCAAATAGCAATGTTTGGAGTTAAAAGGCACTAATTTCCCCTACCTAATGTTTTATCATATATCCAAACCCCTTTCTAGATATTTTAGGATGTCCATGGTATTATGGGGATGTAAATAAAAACATGCATCTCGGTTTTCTCAGTTAGCAATATTATGAAGGCTTTTAATCCTGCTGTACGTTCTTCAATAATTAGCAGCTTAATAGCGACATAATATTTCTATTCCGTTGATAAATGTAAGAGCCGTGGTTTACTTAACCATTCCCTTATTCTTTGATATACAAGTTGCTTCAGTGTTTTGCCATTAAAAGCAAAGCTGTGATTGAATATCTTTCGTGTGGCGAGTTCCCCGGCCCCATTTGGATTATGTCTTTAGGATAAGTCCTAGAAAAGCAATTAGAGTATGCACACTTTAATGGCTCTGTCAAGTTTTTATCCAAATGAGAAGCGAGCTTCGGTTTTTTGAAGCAAACACTACTCCATCAGCCCCAGACTGAATTCCTCCAAGACAGACATCCTAGCTTACTTAGAACAAAACAAAAACAAACAAAAACCATGGTGTCTAGCCTACAAGGACATTTGATGAATATTTTGTGGACTGAATGAGTGAACAAAAATATTTAAAAATCTGAGACTTTAGGAAAAATTTACTCTGGCTGATGTGCCCTGTGTCTCTTAGAACTTCACGGTACTCCCCTCCCCACCCACCCCATCCCACCCCACCCCGACTCTTGTTTTTTAAGAACATTTAGTCTTATTGCAGGAACTATCACTTTCAGTCCTTAGACCCAGAAGACCAAGTTGCTTGCACAAGCTCCTATTTGCACCCCTTGTTCCAAACCATCGCTGGCTTAGCGGCCAACCTTGAACCACTGCGCCCCCACGTGGGCAGCAAGTGGTTTGGCTTTTCTACCTGGGCGATTTCTCACCCAACCATTGCTTCTCTTTTTCTCCTCTCAGGTGAAGGAGGCCATGCAACGGATCCACGACCGGGGGAACATCGGCAAATTAATTCTCGATGTAGAGAAGACCCCGACTCCACTGGTGAGTCAAAAGTAGAGGGTCCGTTCAGTTCACCACAAAAGGGCCTATCTGGTGCTGGCACAGGTCAGGTAGGGGGAAATGCAAGCCGTTCTGGCTTGCGGCAGACCAGTGTAATCAAATGATTGTGCAAATGAGCGATGAGTCCCAGAACTGGGACACAGGCTAAAACAGAAAGGAAGATGCTCCAGTGAGAGCGTTTCAAGAGCAACCTGAGGACAGTCAGGAAAGGACAGGATCGATCTGTGTCTATTGCAAGTGCTGTCTCTTGGCTGCCATAAGTGGGAGGGATTCCTGGTAAATCGAATAAATTCACATTCACATATTCAACAGAAGGATGCCACCTGCCTCTGAGATGCCTCCTGATGATTGCACTGATTTCGCTTCCTTTAGTCAGGATGACACCCTCACATCCAGGGATCCCATCAGGAGTGAAGCATGTCATGCTCACACCCTAGCCCTCTTGCAAGGGCCGCTTGCAAGTGGCGGGCAATGTAGTGTGGAGGTCAACACGCAGAGTGCCATCGGACCGCGTGGCTTTGAAACCTGGTTCTGATCTCCCGTGTGAGACCCTGGGTGATTATTCCGCTGCTCCGTCTTCAGTATCCCCATAAAGTGGAGATCAATCCGTTCTCACAAGTCAGGTGGAATGATACAAATAAGGCATTGGCTGGTTCATACTAAGTTCTAGGAAAGGTTTAACAAAGAAAATACTTAGGAAGGGTTTTTTTTATTTGTTTGCTTTCTCACCTGTTTAGTTTTAAACCTGCATGAGGCATTTGTAAAAGAGAAAGAACTAAAATCTTTCCATGTTTTACTGTGTGTGTGTGTGTGTGTGTATTTCCTTTTTGTTTTGTTTTGTTTAAGTGTTTCCTTGGGTTTTGTAAACTTAATGTAGTTCAGGAATGATAGTCATTTCACTCAATGAAGGATGACTTCAGGAGAGAGCATTTTACAAAATGCAAGTGACTGATAACAATAGGTACTTTGTTTATTAAGTGCTTCCGAAGTCCCAGGACTCTGCCAGCAAATGTTTGAAGGCAGATGAGGGGTTGAAACCAGGGAGAATGGGGCTAGGCCCCAGGTTTTCTGTACACCTATGTTGTTCTTAAAACACATGACCAGATCTATTTTACCCTACCAGTAGAGGAGATCTAGAGCCATCCTGGAGAGTTTGTTGCTTTTAAGCAGGACAGTTGGCATCAGCTTCCTGCCTGTCTCCATACACATGAGGTCCTCTTGGGCCCTCAAACTCTATGAAGGCCTCTTTGACCATGGGGGTCTGTGAGCAGAGCAGGAGCTGAAAAGCCCAACTCTGAGGGCTCAGGGCCTGCCTTGGCATACGCTGTGGTCCTTGTTCTGCAATCTCAGGAGGGCTCTTATGAGGCTTTGGCTAGAACCAAAGTACACATCTTCACAGAAAGGACATTCCAATGGTGGGGATGTTGACAACAAAGTAGACACACACAGCTGTTAGTTGTCCTGGCTCTTAGGAAGTGACAGCATCAGGATTTGAACCCTGGCCCGTCTGTGCTGTGGATGCTATGAGTGCCCCCATTCCCCTAGCACCTGATCCCTCTGTCTGAGAGCCTCCAGCCACAGGAGCGTGTTTGGACAGTATGTATACAACTGGCCAGAGATGTCGGGGAGAAAACCCACCGTGGCCATTCCCTGGCTTCTTATCCTTCATGTGGAACAACTGTGAGATGTGTCCCTCACTGGCTCCCAGTAGTCCCCAGCACGAATGAGCCCCAGCTGCCCACAGTAGGAGCCTACTTATTAACACACGCTGTGCCGACTTCCCTGCCTTTTCTGCCTCATCTCCTCCCTCCTTACCTGTGCTTCCTGGAATCATCTCCCAAATTCCAAATATTTGCACTCAAATCCTTATCTCAAGAGTCTGCTTCTTAGGACACCCAACATTAGACAGCCAGCACCACACTGCCTTCCTGGGGAAGAAAGCGACCCTAACTCTTAGCCCTCAAAGAAGTCCTTCCCAAGGGGCCTTCCTCAGATGCACAGAGAAGGTAAGAGACAGCCTGCAGACCCTCTAAAACATCCTCTGTTGACTTGCAGATGGCCAACGACAGCACAGAGACCAGCGAGGCGGGAGAAGAGGAGGAGGACCACGAGGGGGACAGTGAGAACAAGGAGCGGATGCCCTTTATCCAGTAACCCAGGACCCAGGCAGGAGAATGTGAAGGATGGTTTGGAACAAGAGGAGCCCGTCGAGAAAGCTCTTCTGTGCCCCAGTGAACAAATGCTGTAGTCCACTGTGTGTTGTGTTTGTCTGCAGTCAGCTGAGCTAAAAGCTGTTGATCACTGTTGTTTCTGAAATTAAGTGCCAAGCCCATCCCAAGCAGTATTATGTCCCCCCCCCATCTGTGTATTACACTCCCCCCTCTCTCCTACTTCAAAACCATCCATCTTTGGGTCCTTCTTGACAGTTCTAGAACAGCCTTGCAAATTAATACGAGCCCACAGGCCCAATGCCTACGAGACCAGACATGGGCAAAGACAAGTTTGGATTGAAAGGTGTTATCATAAAAGCACTGTCCAGATCCTAGAATTCTTCAGGCCAATGACACTTTTTGTTGCCAGGCACCCATGATTCTGACAAGGGCACTTGCCAATGTGGCTGGCAGAAGGAGGGTAGGCCAGGAGGTGCTTTTATAAGCCTAGGATCTCTCCAAATAGTACTTTCCCTCTCCCCATTTAGGAGGCAACTTCCTGGTATCCATTCAGTTGTTTATCGGTCAAAAAGGTTGAACCACTCTCCTCTCAGCCTCTGATGCTTGATCCATTCATAGGTTTTTAACCATCAACACAGGAAAGTAGATGTGGATTTTTCAGGACAGAAGATGGGTCAACAGCATGAGTCTGAGTATCGGCCACAGAGACTTCTCCTCTGAAACCAGGTCCATGAGCAAAATCCTCCTCCCTGCCCGCCACATATGTTTTCTATTAATTTCAAGAAAACTCACCATATGTGGGACTATTTCAGAAGTCATTACAGAGATTTGCCTACGTTTGCACACTCCCATGGGCATTACCAATTTCGCTCTTTCAATTCCAGGTAGTTAACAGCTGCCTTGGCTGAGGATCCCCCAAGGAAGACCTCCCTTGTAGACCATATTAGGAAAAAATAAATAAATAAATAAATGAGTATCTCTTTTCTTGCCAAAGCATGTTCTGACATGTAACAAACTCTAGCGATACAATCAGCTGATGTTCAGTATCTGATGCCAAATGTGCAGTTCCTCTCCTCTAAAATATGAAATTATGGTGCAGGCTCTTTGGAAGCCCCTGCTTTTTGGAATTCAGGGACCAAACTACTTGATTATACACCACTGTCTAATTTTCCAGCTCCTAAACTCTTAAGAAACCCCATACCCCGCTGCACCACATGTCTTGAGGTGAACAGTTCCCCTGAAGGATGAGAGAGAGGCTCAATGTCTCCACAAGGGGGTCCTTATTCCCTCCTCTCACTTTGGCTCAAAGGGTGACTCTTTCACTCACAAACCAAGCTGGAGACCCAAGGAGCCCACGTGATCAGCGCCCTCCTCCTTCACTTTGTCTTCTGGAAGACGTTGGAGTGCTCCTGACTGCCCCATCTCTCCACCAGTGAGCCTTAGGGAAGACCCAACTCTTTCCCCCAAACGATGGGAAGGAATGCATTCCAGCAATTACCTTTTTATTTCCAAAGTCCTTTTGTAACAAATATCACCTCATTAATCATGTTCTTTTTTCCTATCCTAAGCTTGTAATGGTGACTTATTTATGCCAAATCTTTATCTGAAGGGAGTTTCTCCTCATTGTGAATGTACGTGTAAAATATGGGGAGAAGAAAGGGTGCTGCCATCTGATGGGCAGAGAGATGAGAGTATCTCAGAAGAAGACACTCACATCATCTGTTTATACCCCAGGACTCACCAATCTTTCATTTCTGGGCCACTTAGAAAGATAATGTGGAGGTTTATCACCCCCCCCACCCCACCCCCACACACACTTTCATTAAACGCTGTGTTATTGGTCACATTTCTCCCCTAACCAAGCTGATAATGAGGTTTTAAGAAGAACCACTACCCAAGTGACATTCCTGGTGAGCTGGACAGAAATGGCATTTTCTAGGGCTGGGGTAACAAAGAGCCATTGGCCAAATCAGGGCTGTCCTCTGAGAGGGGAGTGGGAATCCAAACGGCCTTTGTTCTGTCCAGAGGAGAGGCATTAAAAAAAAAATCACACTTCCCCAAATCTGTTTTTCAACCAGCAAAATTAATACAGTCATCACAAATAATGTCAGTTGGCTAAAGAAAACCCTTTTGTCTCTTCAGAATACCGAGTCAGAAGAGTAAACTAGAGTCTGACTATCAAGGTCCAGTTACGCCATGAGGAACAAGAGAAAGAAAAATGCCAAAATCAGTCGTTTAATGCACTCTCGTTTTAAGCACCTTCTTCCCGTCACGTGATTGGTTTTCTGAAGGAAGTATAAAGAAAGTCTCAGTTTGCCTTAAAGGAACTGTGAAGGCTTCTCTGTCATTTAAACTTGATTGGAGTGAACTGAAACATTGTCTAACGTATTTGTGGCTTTAGAGCTTTTGTTACATTGTGCCTACAAAGCAAATTATGTTTACATAAAATATATAAATAAAGTATTCAGCATAGCATAACCTCGCCTGGCATTGGTGACTCCACTTAAATAGCTGTTGGAAAAGCAGCCCCACTATTAAAATGGAAGAAGTGAGTGACTAAACAAGAAAGAAAATATATATGTGACAGAATTTTCAAATGAAAAACTAAAGACTGTAGAGAAGATAGGAGTCGAGATGAGCCTTTAAAAGAAACATTCGAACTCACTCAAGCAAGAAAGTATAACCACTAAATAACGTAACTACTGAAGACATCATATAAAAACAACAATAATTATAATGGTGCTTATAAGATACCAACATATGCTGTTAAGAGAGCTACATAAAATTAAATAATATTTACATTAACTTGCCTACCCTGCCAACAGCCCATTTTATAGGTAAAAAGACTGAAGATTAAGGTTTTTGCACTTGGCCAAGATCACACAGCTAGTAAGTGGTGGGGCCAGGGTTTCTAGCCAAGCTAGAACTCATGCTCTTAATCATCCTATCATGCTTCTTGGCTTAAATAGGGTGAAATATGGTGCATTTTAAATGACCATCCCTTGTTCCCTAGAAACTCTTCAGATATTGTTTCCTCTGATTTCAAGGATATGTTTGTAAACTTGTTTTGCTTTGTAGCAAATAACATGCATATCAAGAAGCTTTTTTTTTTTCTGGCCCTCCATCCTAGTGTTCAGTGAGGTACTGATTTTAAAACTCACACATCTCTCTCTCTCTCAAAAACAAAAACAAAAACAAAAAACCCCCTCATACATCTCAACCATTTTCATTTTCATGATCTAATATCCTCAAGGTAATCAAAGAGATACACAACAGTAAATCCTCAAGGCTAAGATTTCATGAAAGAGAATTCATGATTAGGGAGTCCTTACAGTGTTTCCCATATTCTCAGCAGGAAGCCAAAAAAATAGACCCAAGACCCATGTCAATAAAATGCCACAGACATGTAAACCTGAATTTGCAAGGGAGAAATATTACTCACGTTGTCAGTGAAATTCCTTCAAAGTGCCTGCATAAAGGATTTTCTTACATAATCTGATTTAATGTTCACATACTCCATATAAATCTCACGGTCTCATTTAGCCAGCGCTGGTACACTGTCCCATTTAAACACAACCCAGCAACTAGAATCTAAACTAAAATCCACATCTTCACTTACAACTCAGAATGGGGAACAGCCGTTGGAAACAGAATTCTTTTCAGCACTGTGAATGAGGTTTGGGTGGAAATGGAGGTAAATCTTTCAAAAGCCATCCGAGGCACAGGGAAACGTTTGTGGAGAAGCAAGGAGGTGAGAGCTTCTGAAGGGCATACTGAGGAGTGGAGAGGAGAACAGTGGACCTGAAATCCACACATGGGGATGGAGTGGGACAGGAGAAAGGCACGATGGGAAGCCAGTACCAGGTGTGGAGGTCTCTGAATGCCAAGCCGATGATCCTGGATTTCTGTGAAAAGGAACAAGGTGTGAGGTGGTGGTATGGCCTGAAAGTTCGGGCATGGAGGTGATTACCAAGAGTAAATGTGGGGTTCAGTGCAAACAGGGATAGGAGATGAGCCTAAATATGGCTCCAGTGGGACATCAAGTACCTCGATTCTCTGCTGTCCTGCTTTGGGTCCTCTGGAATCAGACACTGAGTGTCAGAGCAAGGACTTGAGTACCAGCAGCAGCATTGGGAGGTGATTCCAAGAAGCACAGCTCAGGGAAGAAGACGATAGAACAGGAAAGGGAAGAAGCCAGCTCAGGGTGTGTTGATGAGCAAGTTACCACTGTGGGGGAGGTAAACAGGTCCCTGAGTTTTCTCATTTGAAAGATGAGGAAGTTGTCATATTATCCATCAATCCCCGTGCATCGTTAGTAGCGGGCTGCTTCTAACAACTGTGTTGATGCCCTGATGCTCCTGACCTTCCCCTTGTGTGAATCATGCACATTACTGTGGCCAGACAATGCCCTTGGATGCACAGCCACAAGAAGCCACTAGGATATGGAGGAGCAGCAAGGCGATCTGGAACACATAAGTTCTCACAGCTCCTACTGTAACTCTTCCAGGGAATTTGCTTTCTTCAAAAGTCCAAGGGGGACACTGTTGAAGCTTTCCAGTAACCATAGTCCAGGCTTACTAACTACTTCCCCACTCCAGCTATCCCATCACACCACCCTTTCTGTTTTTGCTTTTTTTTTTTTTAACAATTTTACTTATTTATGAGAGAGCGAGCGAGTGAGAGAGAGCATGAGCCAGGGGTAGGGGCAGAGGGAGAAGCAGACTCCCCACTGAGCAGGGAGCCCCATGAGATTCGATGCTTGGCTCGATCGCAGGACTCAGGACCATGACCTGAGGTGAAGTCAGCCACTTAACCCACTGAGCCACTCAGGTGCTTTGTTTCACCTTTTATTTTGTTAATTGGTCCCTTGACTTGAAGAATATGGTTTCTGAACATAGAAGGCCAAAATGCCTCCCTTCACCGAACCTTCACTGTGACGAGTTCCTTCACTGGGGTCTTCCTGCCAAATATCAGGTCTCATCACTGGGGCCAGAAGATCTGGGACTCTGTGTTAAATGAAGACACATGTTTGTTCAACAGATTTTTAGTGAACATTTACAGGGTGTAGGACCCTCTTCCGTGTCCTAGAAATAAGAGACAGATATCTCCTCAAGAAATTCACAGTCTAAAAAGAAAGAAAAATAAATTCACAGTCTAAAACTGTGCTATCCAGTAAAGATATGAAGATGAGCAACATACAAAGTTAAGTTTTCTAAGAGTCAAATTCAAAAAGAAAAAAAAAATTAAATATTTTATTTAACCTAATATACAGAATGTTATCATTTCAACATATAGTCCATATGATTATCAATGAGACATTTTACCCTCCATTTTTCAAACGAAGACTTCAAAGTCAGGTGTGTGGTTTAACACAGCACATCTCAGTTTGCCCTGGACACACCGCAAATGCTCAGTAGTGCTTGTGAGTCGGGGCATCCATTCTGGACAGGCAGGTCTAGGGAATGGGCAGAAATGGATGCCAA